TTTGTAGGATAAATTGTTCTCATTAATAGCCTTAATGAGCAAAACTGCCTAAATAATACCAGTGCAAACATGGTATTAGACTAACTAAATCTGAAATCAGAGTAATAAGAGTAATAAGTATATGGGGAGTACGCCGATAAGTTTATTAAATTGAAATATTCATACATTTAAAAAATAATTACATAAGAGGCTTATAATATGTTTTCACTGCCTTTGTTAGACCAGTTTATTTTGTTAAAATCGTTAATGAAATTTGATTAACCATACAAAGAGGTTTTGTGTCTTTTAACTTAGTTAAGACTAAATCAAATGTCGAATGTGATATTGTAAAATATATATATCTTAAAAAGAAAATAATGAAAATTTCACCTATTTGACCTATATGAAACAAAATTTAAATAAAAACAATAAACAAATAAGTCAAAGAAACCAAAGATGAGAATTTTTTAAAGTGTTTATTTTTATAAGTAAAATATATAATTGACATATAAAAATATATAAATAATTATAAATGAATATAAATAAACATATAAATATTTCAAATATGATGAATTTCCATGATGAATTTTCATATTTCAATATAACAATTGAAATAAAAACAAAGAAAAGCTTTTCTAATATTTAGGATTTCCTAATATATTAAATCTCTTTCACATGAAATAATCAACTCATGGCAGTAGAAACGAAGAAATCTTAACAAAAGTTATTTTAACTGCAGTGGAAACATGTTATTAAATGATCATGTATACTATAGTGTGGTATAGTTGATTAATAGGAGTCGTAAGTCCTATAAATGGACATTTCATAATCTGAGGTAATTGGAAATTGAACTAGCAATTAAATTTTTGATTTCAACTATGTTGGCAAAAAATAACAATGTTAAAAGTTCCATGTTGCTATTGTTTGAAGAGATTTTTAAAAAAGACGTTTAGGAAGAAAGAAAATAAGTTGTTCATGAAATATAACATTTTTTGTATACTATTTATTATTTATGCTATTTATTTAAATAAACATCAGAAAAACATAGTTACAACTGATCAGTTCATACGACAGTTATTTTGAAAATTTTGATAGAGCAAGTAACCTCTGTGGTTTGTGGGATGTTTAACCTCATATAAGGCGTACTTGACAAAGTAAAGGTTTTTTCTAAAGGGCCCATTAGACAGCAACGTTCGTTGTCAACGCGCGCTTGCCATTACACAAACAATTTTTTAAAAATTTTTTAAACACGCCCCAGATAAAACAACAAATATACTAAAAAATCGCTCTCACATGAGAATTTTTTCTCCTACTTTTCTCCTACTTTGTGAAATGCGAAATTTGTTTGTGTAATAGTAACATTTGAAATTTTAAGAAATGTGTTGACGAAAATCAAAAAATTTTGATATTTCTTCAACCACGCTCGTGTTTTTGCATATACAGTCGGATTTGGTCGGCATGCAAAATTTAATTTATTTTGAGGAGTAGAAGCACGGTTGCCACTTGAAAATTTTTTTCTGTACCAAAATTGGTTTAAAAAGGTACCATTTCTGTAAAAAAAGGTCCAAAATTTTTTTGGACCTTTTTGTTTTCTCGTTCTGTTTTTTTCATAGTGTTATAAATGAACAAAATATAATATAGTGCAAAGTTGCATTTATAAAAAAAATTAATTGCAAATATCCACAATAAAGTTGGGTCGTCAAAAATGTACCATTTTTTGAAAGTGAGTACCAAACGAAAAAAAAAAAGTACCAATTTTGGTACTAAAGTACCATAAGTGGCAACCGTGAGTAGAAGCGTAAACACATCGTTTAAATGCACGCATGATTTGTCGTTACCATGCGATGCTTTGCAAATATGAATGAATTGCATCTTTTATTTTAAATATTTGTATTTTCTACCTAGGTAAAGTTTTTTAATTTCCAAAAAGGTAAAGTTTTTTAATTTCCAAAACATGTTATTAAGAAGAATTAAAATATTAATAACCTTGGGCTAAAAAAAAATAACCAAACATTAAATTACAATGAAAATTTTGTTTTAAATATTAATTGCATTGTGCATTTACGGAAAATTTGTTATTAAAATATACCAAAAAAAAATTAACTTATATAAAATTTAATATATACCATATAAAAATAAATATATAAATTGAAATCATAAAAATAAATATATAAATTAAATGTAAAACATCATTTTTCGTAAGGAAATTACGCATACCAGCCGCTGTTGACACTTCAGCGATTGCTTTAATATTGATGAGTGAACAAATTTTGCATTGTTTGCTGGAGGCGTGTTTAAAAAATTGTTGGTAAATTTAATGTGTAATACCAAGAGAAGACTTCGTGTGTTTGTCAACGCGCGTTGCTGTCTAAGGGCCACTTTACAATTGTAGTTTTACAGCGTAATTGATACATTTACTTTTGCGGAAACAGTATCGTTAGTAAACACTCGAGTCATACTTGAGCATTAGCTGTATTTTACTCATACTCACTCTGGCTGTCTTTTTCGTTTACTTAACTTCACCTGACTCATTCAAATTGAAAGTAATTGTAATTATCCGTTTTAACTTTGTTTTTCAATATAATTATTGCTACAACAAACCAATACAAGTCCTATATATATATATGCTTAAGGGTGTAAATCTAAAATTATCTTATAAGTAACGGAAACTGAATTGTAAATGCACAAATACCATCTCAAATCCCGCAATTAGTTTCAACTTCACCTTCTTTCAATTTAGTGAAAAGCGTACACTTGAAGATAATTTTTAGGGGCAATGGCTGAAATAAGGAGTACAATTTTGGTTATCAGTTTTGAATTTTTATCTAAAACACATGATTGCCGGTGCCAAATTAAAAAAAGTAATCGCGCGGATGATTGCTAAAATGGTGGTAAATTTATTGTGCGAAAAATATCTAATAAATTTATATGAACTTTTTTTATGTAATAAATAGTTAATAAGTTAATTGTTTCAAGATGATAAAAATTGTATCAGATATTGTGCTGTATTCCAAACAATTATATTGTTTGATTAATGCAATGATAAAAAATTATTTTAATTTTAATATTTTTTTGGCTGCTATTATGTCAACTTAAGTTTCAATAAAAATAATTACGTTCGATTTATTTAAATATAAATTTTATTATACTCGTATTTATTAATATGTATATTCAATATTTCGCCTAACTAATATGGTCATCTTAATTGTTTATTCCATACATTTCATAACTATTGTGTTCAAGTCTTATACATGCACTTTTATCATATGTCCATACAAAGATATATATAACAGTAACAATTAATAGGTTAAAGAAACATTTTTACGACACAGTAACAATTATATGACAACACAATATATTTATAAATGTAGCATAATTGTATATTTATCCTGTTATCCTGATTGTTTAATGTATATTTATACACTTGAGCACAGTTTATTATATCCTTCTTAAAGTTAAGCAAATCTAAAACAGGACTTCAATTTCTTTATAAATATATGTACAGTGACGAACATAATAATTGGCACAGCAAGCATCGTGAAGACGCTGTGAAGAAATATATAATTATATGGCGTAAATAACTCGTTAAGGAAACCAGAAGGAACATTTTTGTAGAGCTCATAAGGAATGCTGTAGTTACCTGAAGCTTTATTAGATTTGGTGTTTGCAAGCACAAGCTGGAGTTCACAAAGTTCAAAAGGAGAATCAAGGAAAGAATTGGCAAAAGGCGGAAGACACCAAGAGATAACTGGAAGGTCGGAATTGCATGAAAGCAGGAACTCATAGTGAATATGAAAGTCTTCACATTGTAGAGAATTAGCTACTTTGAGGGGACTGTTTTTCAAATTTTTTGCTACATTCCACTAGTCAGAAGTATTTTGAACAATATTAAGCGCTTTAATTTTTTTTTATTGCCATTGAAGTTTTTCATTACGGCAGAGGTATGCATATAGGTTTCTAGAGGTTTCTAGATTGTATTTCGAACTAAATTAAGAAAATGAAACATTTTTTTCTAAGTTCATGACACTGGTTATCAAACCATTCATTTTAAGGGTCAAAACGCTTTTTCAATGTCTGGTTATTAATACTAAAGCAGATTGGATGTTAAATTGGATGTATTTCTTGAAAAAGTTCGCGAGGCGTGGGGAAACCAGACATTGAAAAAGCGTTTTGACCCTAAAAATGAATGGTTTGATAACCAGTGTCATGAACTTAGAAAAAAAATGTTTCATTTTCTTAATTTAGTTCGAAATACAATCTAGAAACCCATCGTACTTCTTACTTTTCACTCAGATTTCGATATGCATACCTCTGCCGTAATGAAAAACTTCAATGGCAATAAAAAAATATTAAAGCGCTTAATATTGTTCAAAATACTTCTGACTAGTGGAATGTAGCAAAAAATTTGAAAAACAGTCCCCTCAAAGTAGCTAATTCTCTACAATGTGAAGACTTTCGTATTCACTATGAGTTCCTGCTTTCATGCAATTCCGACCTTCCAGTTATCTCTTGGTGTCTTCCGCCTTTTGCCAATTCTTTCCTTGATTCTCCTTTTGAACTTTGTGAACTCCAGCTAGTGCTTGCAGACACCAAATCTAATAAAGTTTCAGGTAACGACAGTATTCCTTATGAGCTCTACAAAAATGTTCCATCTGGTTTCCTTAACGAGTTACTTACGCCATATAATTATATATTTCTTCACAGCGTCTTCACGATGCTTGCTGTGCCAATTATTATGTTCGTCACTGTACATATATTTATAAAGAAATTGAAGTCCTGTTTTAGATTTGCTTAACTTTAAGAAGGATATAATAAACTGTGCTCAAGTGTATAAATATACATTAAACA